ATATTCTCGAAGAAGACCAAAATCCAAAAGTGGACGAACAACTAGAATTTCATGCTAGAGTTTACTGTCGTCGGTTTTTGCTAGGAGAAAAAACAGATACTCATAAGACGAACGGACAATGTCAACTATTGTAATGCAAAACCGGAACTCATCGTGATCTCGCGGCTATACTCTGACCTGCGGATGGAAAGGTATTTTTTTTTTTTCCTTAAAAAAAAAATTACCATAGCTTCCACTTCGACCCAGCCCTGAGTGGGTAACAGGTACAGTACTGGGAAATAAAGATGGCCTGCGTGATGCTGACCACATCACCCACCCGACTGCCGACAGGTCCAGCCCTATATGCCCAATACGCCTGAAGGTGTGGGAAAAGGGTCCTTTACTTTACTTGGTCATTGTATCTCTCCAAGCGAGGGTCACCGGAACTTTGAGACATCTTGAGTTATCTTTTAAAGTAATTTCATATAGTTTGTTTGATATACTATTCGCCCCCCCCCAATTCAGGACATTGTTATTATTACGCACTTGAACAAGACCCAGATGCTTTGAGTCCCCATCTCCTCCCTCGTGTTTTCTTTGTGTTCGCTTTCCTGGCCCTCAGCATTCTGTCTCATTACTAGCAGTTCCCCGCGTGGGTTCTGGGGCCCTGTTATAGGGAAAACAAGAATAGACCCACTGCCTACCCAAAAGCATGTCGTAAGAGTCGACTAACTGGGAGCTTCCTTCGAAGTTGGAGTGCATCTGCCTGAGAGGCAAGGAACCAACAGTCTGCATACAAATGAGTCAGATCTGTCAAACGGATGCATACGCAACAATCAGGTTCTGGAATAGGACTGCAGCTCAGAAGTGGACGAACAGCCAGAACTTTCAGCCGGTGAACGCGACAGAACGAAGAAGAAAAATCACTGGCAGCCATTTCTGACACAAATGTTTTTCCATGCATCGATGGCAAGCTAATGTTTTCTCCGTTTGTCTCCCCTTACTCTCCTACCTACCGATTTGTCACGATGTACTCGTTTCTCCCACCTCATGACGTACCAAAGAGAGATAGTCTGTTTCCGAGGCAGGTTTAAATTGTTTTCTGTGATTTTGGTAGTGGAATAGCAGCAGATTGTGCACCTCAGGATGCATTTTGGTGGTAATAGTTTCTACTAGTTAGATCGACCAGTCTATCCCCTTGGGGCTGATTCCTAAATGTTTGTCACACCAAGGCCGTCCAAGTTCGACGTGACGTCACCACCGCGGGCTAACGATACATCCCGTTTTCGCTCTGACTGGCCTGTTTTTCGGTGTGTTCCCTGGTCACCCCTGACCCCCCCCCCCCCTCCCCAACAGGAATAAGTTCAAGAATAGAACTTGTATATAGATATATACACGTATATACAAACAACTGACATGGAAAAATTGAGAAAACATTTCAATATTATTAACTAATTAATATGGTTTATACAATTAATATGCTTATATAATCTCATCTTCTTAAAATATATTAGTTTCCTTATGAATAATAATAATAATAATAATAATAATAAACTGAATCTGGATGGCAGACCAACGCTCTAAGGCCGCAAGTTCCTGTGCCTCTCCCGTGGACAGAAGCGCTCCAGCTTTCTCCTTCTCCTGGCAATGCCAAAGAATGTACGAGATTGTCTTTTTCTGATGCGGACAATCAGTTCTCTTCGTGAGTCAGTTTCTCTCGGGACATCTCAATTACTCTTTTGATCTGTCCAGGGTATTCTCGGCATTCTACCACACCTCCTTTGCTTCCAAATAATTTTCCACTTATCGTCCAACTTTACAACATAAAAATCTAAATCTATAGTTACCAAACCGGGAATCCAACCTTCTCTAAATGACGATAGTGCCTCGCTGCAGAAACACATGTTCCGAGGGGCATGAACAACTCGACGCCACATGGTAGCATAACGGTCTGCCGTGTTTGTCATTGTTGCTGTGTTTGTTATTCTTCACTAATTTAAATTTCTGTAACCCACTGTGCCATTTCAATGGTTTGAGATGAATTCCACCCGTTTCCCATAGTTGTGCATTTTAAGCTGTACGAAATCACATGACCAGTGAAGACACCATTTTTAGGGGTGTCTAGTTAGTAGGGTTGTACCGAAAAGTGATTTTTACTATTCCGCCGAATACGAATAGCGGGACCAACTATTCGGCTAAATACGAATATTGTATCATATCATCATCATCATCAGGTGCCTTGCCGACTTGCGTGGGCGAATATGCCTCGCCACAATCTGCGATCTCCTGCAGCATATATCAGTTCGTGTGCTGACACACTTCCATGCCATGCAACAAGACTGTCGCGAACCTTCTCTCGTTGTCTTCCTCTGTCCCTCCTTCCACAGATCTTTCCAGTGGTCCCCACATGTTCCATTTTCCCTCTTCTCATTACATGGCCGAAAAATGATGATTGTCTCCTTCTGATGTCTGTGATAAGTTGTCTTCGAGCTCCCGCCTCTTTCAAAACTTTTTGGTTGCTTTTTTTTTTTTTTGGGGTGTCCAGGATATTTTAAGCACTGTTCTGTAAAACCACATATCTTAGGACCTCAAGAAAATGTTTGGCCTGCCTACCGATTGTCCAGGACTCACAACGCATTGCCTTTAAATAAAAGTGCTTACTTGATGAGGCTGACAGTGAATATTGTACAGACCACATTTTCGACTTTAAAATTTCAGCCAAAATGTAATCACAACCTTACTTATCCTCTGCACCTTCATGAATACAGATGGAGAATCAGTCGCATCTCGTGATAAAAACAAAGGCAATTTATAGCACACTGCAGTTGGCATTTTATGCAGATTTGATGGGGGGGGGGGGGGGGTAGTGAAGAGGAAGCAATCACTCAGTACCCACACAGACGTAAAACAAACCCGTACGTTTTAGACTCAGTCTTCTCTTTATACGCCAGATAAACATTTGTTCGCTACAGATTTAGACACAGGAAATTCCACAGCGTAAGCTTGAATGTACACACCTAGAGAGGTGACAAAGGCGCCCGGAAAATGACTGCTTGACTGAATATGAAAAGAGCCGCTTGACGGAATGAAAGAAGGAAGATTTATATTTGTGTATGCCTGACCATGTCAAGTGGCTTCGGGGACATTTTCCGGGCGGCGGAGAAACACACGGGCACATACACGGGAAGAGGGACGGGGGGTGGGGGGAGAGGGTGCAGTGAGCAAAAGCGGGGAGGTAGAAGGTGTTGACAGAGAAAGGGACAGAGATAAATAGACAGACACACAGAGATAAGTAGTAAGGTGGATAGGCATAGAGACAGATAGCTAGACAGACTAAATACACAACTATAGTTACAGGGGGAGGGGGGGGGGTGCAGTGAGCAAAAGCGGGGAGGTAGAAGGGGTTGACAGAGAAAGGGACAGAGATAGATAGATAGACACACAGAGATAAGTAGTAAGGTGGATAGACATAGAGACAGATAGCTAGACAGACTAAATACACAACTATAGTTACAGCCGGGGAGGGGGGGGGGGGGGGGGGGTGCTGACAAAAAAGAAAATATTAGGTGTGAGAATCCTCTTATAAATTTTCTGGAGGGATGGTTCGCTCCATTTCTAAGCCTTATTTAAGTGATTAATAATAATGCACTGAATATATAGTATATTAAAATAAAAGGATATGTATGAACACAACAATGAAAACAAAGTATAATATGGGGATGGGGTGTGCACTCAGGGTGCCTAAGACCCCAGGTTCCACACCCCTAGTTACATCATGGGTCCCGGTTGCAGCACTTGGGTCCCAGTTGCAGCACTTGGGTCCTGGTTGCAGCACTTAAACCCTGATTGCAGCAATTGGGTCCTGTTTACAGCCCTTGGGCCCTGCTGGCAACACATAGGCCCTGTTTGCAGCACTTGGCCCTGGTTGCAGCGCCTGGGTCCTGTTTGAAGCACTTGGGCCCTGGTTGCAGCACCTGGGTCCTGGTTGCAGCGCTTGGGCCCTGGTTACAGCACTTGGGCCCTGGTTACCATGCTTGAGTCCTATTTGCAGCACTTGGGTCCTGGTTACATTACAGGGGCCCTTGTTACTGCACTTCAGTCCTAGTTGCAGCACTTGGGCCCTGGCTACCGTGCTTGAGTCCTATTTGCAGCACTTGGGCCCTAGTTACAGCACTTGGGCCCTGGTTACAGCCCTTTAGCCCTAGTTGCAGCACTTGGGTTCTGGATGCAGCACTTGGGCCCTGGTTGCAGCACTTGAGCCTTGGTTGCAGCACTTGGGCCCTGGTTGCAGCACTTGGGCCCTGGTTGCAGCACTTGGGCCCTGGTTGCAGCACTTGGGCCCTGGTTGCAGCACTTGGGCCCTGGTTGCAGCACTTGGGCCCTGGTTGCAGCACTTGGGCCTTGGTTGCAGCACTTGAGCCCTGGTTGCAGCACTTGAGCCCTGGTTGCAGCACTTGTGCCCTGGTTGCAGCACTTGTGCTCTGGTTGCAGCACTTGTGCTCTGGTTGCAGCACTTGTGCTCTGGTTGCAGCACTTGTGCTCTGGTTGCAGCACTTGTGCTCTGGTTGCAGCACTTGTGCTCTGGTTGCAGCACTTGTGCTCTGGTTGCAGCACTTGTGCTCTGGTTGCAGCACTTAGGCAATGGTTGCGGCACTTGGGCCTCGATTACAGCACATAGGCTTCTGGTTGCAGCACTCTGGGCCCTAATTACAGCACATAGGTCCACCCAGCACTTGGGCCACTGTTACAACATGTGGCCTATGGTTACAGCCCCATGGTTACCGCTCTTGGGACCTTGGGTTACAGCACTTAGTTTCACATTATTACTAATAACAGTTTTGTCTTTCTTCTTTTTCAGATCTGCTGATATAATGATGCTAAAGATGGTGACTGGCAGGGGTATCCTGTCTGCTCTGTCCTCTAGGCTACCAGATGTTTCAGTTATCTCTTGATGCACATGTTTTCCTAAACCTATCAGGATATTTGGGTGTCAGTAGTTCACTGACCTGACCACAGTTGCAATGATGCGATGGCTGAAAGACAAGAAAAAGGAGAAGCGGTCAAACAGCACTAGTCAGAATGATGCTGAAAAAGAAGATGATTATGGATTTGGAAAAGAGAAATCAGCTGCCAAGTCCCCATCTTCCAGACGACAACTTCCTCCAACTCCAGCTACACCAGAAGAGATGTCACCCCATATTTATGAGGAGATTCCAGATCTGCCTCTGTGCTGTATGCCAGATAATGAGAAAGTTTTGCTGCAGAATAAATTTGGCAAAAGTAAACATGGAAATACTGCTGGAACTGCATCAGAAGCTGCTTCTGCGTCAATGAAGCCAGGAGCCTCCCAGAGGGATGATATAAATCCATATATGGTTGTATCTGTTGATAAAGAGGTCAGGCAGACGCCAACAGAATTCCACAGAAATGGAACACCTGAAGTCCACTGTGATGTTATTGTCAAGGAGACCCACTGTGAAATTCTGCTCAGCCGAAAGCCTAAAATAGGTACTTTTCGACTGGACAATGCAGTGCTTTCTGTTGGTGGAGAGAATGCTTCTGAGAGAAGGAATATTAGAAGCAACACACATCTTTCTTCTCATGACAAGCGAGCGGCAGCTGATGTGTATATTGGAGGAAGTCAGTCAGCTGCATTTAGTGTAACTTCATCTGCGTTTTCATCATCGTCATCAGCCTCAAAAATTCAATCTAGTGGAGCCCCATCTATGACATTAGTGAATGTTTTTGAAAAACAACATCCTTTGGAAACTAGTGACGAGGCCAGTAGCAGCAATACTGGTGAAAATGGAGTCATCACCTACTCGTCTGCTAGCAACTTCATACCAAGGTCGACAAAGCTGGTATTCAACCCGCTGCCTGGTAAAAACCCGTGTAAAGAAGCATTTGGCAGTGACTCAAGTGATGAGTTGCGCACTGTGGGTTACCCATCTGTAAACGAAGTCAAACAGTGTGTTAACAGTGTGAGTTTCCTTTCCTGCTCGTGAACAACATAGGGGATCACAAATGTGTGACATATGCCTCCATTCACTCCGACAATGACCCCTCCCTCAGTATTGACGGCCATGTTACTTATGCCTCAGTTCAAGATCTGCATTATTCTGATGAAAAGAAAAAACCCGACTGTAACTTTGATGATCTTCTCAGAAAACATCATTCTAATTTCCCGCTGAACTCACTAACGGACAACACCGATGTCGGTGGTATAAATAAAACAGGAATTATTCAATCTTTGAGCCCTTCAACTTCATCAAACTGCATTTATGCTCTGGTAACATTTCCTGCCGAGCCAAATCATTATAATACAATCTCTGATATTATTTCACCAGGTTTTCAAGAAAATTTATGTCATGGGGAAAATGGCTCGAGTGCCAATGAACCATTTTGCTGTGAAACTGGCCATTCGACAACTAATGCTGAAATCAACGATATGCGTGTATCTAATGAGTTCTCTAGCATATCTATTTTCATGTAAACAGCACACACAATTTAGGCAGCCAGGGTTCACATTTCAACTTCAGTAAAAGAATTTGTGGTGACTTAAATTTAAATCAGTTTCATCCAAAGCCTGGCAACACAAAGAGCACAGATAATGCCTGCAGTCCAGGTAAAGGTGGGAAACGAAGAAAGTATAATCAGAGCCAAAGTGCACGACCGAGTTCCTAAGCAAAATATGGCGTTTCCAGAGTTGTCAACTCATGCTGAGCATAGGCTAGAACTGGAGTTCTGTTTATGTTCTGACGACCATTCGTCATCTTGTGGCTGCCATGATGCCAAACATAGTCATGATGATGATGTTACTAGTGTTGCTGGAGCCATTCATGAGGGTTCAGGCTCATGTCGAAGTTGTGGCCGACTTATTCGCCAGATAACCTATTCAGAATCCTATTCTGATGAAACTTCTGAACATGTGTATGCCTCACGTCTGCTGGTTAGAACTGGAAGACGATTTTCTAGTCCGGATATCACATTTTTAGAAGTGTCCAATTCTGAATTTCAAGATATTCAGAATCCTCGTAGTTTGGATTGTCCTTATGCTGTCTCACGAGATGATTCTTGGACATCTACACGTAGTTCAGATATGATTCCGCCAACTTATCATGCAGCCACTGGCTGTAACATTATAAAGACTGGTAACATGCCATGGGTAAAGAAAGAGAATTCTGGGGAGACTCTAGGACATTATGCTCTTAAGAGAGATTCAGTTGGACTCTTACATGGTCATCTCTGTTGCACAAGGGATATACAGAACAGCAGTTCTGTAGGGTCAAAGGTTACATCAGCTGGTAATGCATTGGATGGCTCTTCTGACCAGTGGGATTCTGCTGTGACCTTAGTGAAGAATACAGATTTTTCATTTGATAGCAGGATATGTGATACATTAAACACCGACCAGAACAGAGGTCACGCAGAGCAAATCGTTGACTTATCTCAGAAAAATGATATAGTAATTATTCCAGAACTTGGTGGCGACTCATCTCAGAAACACGACATCATAATTACCCCCGAGCCAGTCACTGACTCATTTCAGAAACATGATATCAAAATTACCCTAGAGCCAGTAATTGACTCATCTCAGAAAAATGACTTGCCAGTTATCCCGGAGCCAAAGAGCAGCACATTCACTGGACTGTTATCAAGGTTTTCACGAACAAAGTCATCAAAGCCTGCAAAACCAGAAGTCTCAGAAATGTCGAATGCATGTGTGTCACAAGCAGACAGAGCGCAGGATATTGTAGTTGCTAAATGTGATAAATCTTTAGAAGAAATACCAGAAAAGAATACTCGAAAGCTGTCCAAATTTTTTCAAAGGTTATCCAGCAAAGACATTCACAAGGCCATAAATGGTTGTGTGGCATTATCAGAAACTGACAACCAGTCCAAATTCATGTACTCCTAAAGAAACTGGATCTTCAAATGGAAGGTCTGAATCATTTCAAACGCCATGTGTGGAAAATTGTACATCTGGGTCAAATTCTCAGAAATGCTGGAACGATGATGATTTCAGCTCTTTGTTAAACAAGGGAAATGATGCGAAGGAGGGGGAAAGTCAAAATTGTAATAGTTTCAGTGATGGATGTGAACAAAAAGTAAGACTTCATGCACAGTTACAAATTAATAAACATCACAGCATTTTATCTGAAGCTTCAGCAGGTTTATCAGAAACTGCCAGTGCACCTCTAAAGGAGGCAGCTCGAACATCAAATGCTAAATCTCAGTGCAAGACAGACAGTGGCGACACCTGCTATGAATACGACATCAGCACCTCTAGTGAAGGCGAACAAACAGGGTATGAGCATTTTCTGTCGAAAGTGAGGAAGACATTGAATCTAGAGCATGAGGTTCAACATATCGCGGAGTCTAGTGCTGTCAGGAAAAAACGCCTGTGCAAACATTGTAAAAAGGATGGATTGTATTCAACTATTGACGACGAAGAAGAAGACAAGGATGAACTGTGTCCGCATTTAGCTGCCAAGTTTGGAGATTTACGTGCGATTTTCGAAGATATGGTAGTGGATCAGCGGGCTGCAATTCTTGATTGTCTGACAGATTTTATGCATAGCCCATACAATATTCGTGGCCACAGCCATGAAGGATTTTGTCGGGAATGTGGATGTGAGATTTTAACCTCTGATTCAGAATCTCAAACGACCATATGCAGTTTGCTGTCGCAACAGTTGTTCCGAATGACGTCACCAAATGGTCAGCCTTTGAGCTGTGATTCTGACGAGGGAACAATGGCAGACAACTCTTGTGAATCAGCTGATGATGATGACAACGAAGCGAATGGAAACAGAAAGGATACAAACAGCAAAAAGAGTCCTTATGATGACAACAGTAGTGGCTATGATGAACCTAAAGATAAATTGGGACAATTGAGTCAGAAACTGAGGAAGAAAGAAAAGAAAGAGAAAAGACACGCATCATCAACAGTTATTGACTGTGGCCCAAAAGAAAATGACAGTGAAAATCATGAAAGGATGTCAGCTTTTGCTTTCACAAACATCCTGGAGGACTCTTCTTTTAACTTCTTAAGTCTTCCAGCAGAACCATCTATAAATAAACAACAGATACCAGATAAAGGGGAACCAAAGACCTCGACCATATTCTCAGACACCACTTGGAAAAACAACTGGAACAAGAATTCTTCAGCTCCTCAGTCCTCACATTCATCAAGACAGACCCTAGGGCCGTATTTCTCGCACGGGGCAGATTCCTTCCAGGGAAATTCAGATCATTCAGGAGCCTGCAACATCAGTGGATCAAGAGCCAGCTTTGTTACCGAAAAAGTGTTACAAGATATTTATGCCCCGTTACCCTCTAAAGCCCTTTCTCTGTTGGCATCCAAGAAGTACGGTCCCCCATCTGGGCTGTCCTGCTCTTGCGGAAGGGTACCCCAGGCGTCTGTAGTAACAGCCGGGACCGCCCACTTAGCCACAGGGAAGACAGAAACGCCACCCACAGGGTGCATAAAGAGGGACGGGTTCTCACAGTCGTCCTCTTCTGGTCTCATACATTGTGACAGTGACAAAAAGAGCGGGGTTGCCCCGGTACAAAAACATCTACGAAACAGAAAGAAGACGGTGGAGGGAGAACTCTTCAATTTCAGCGAGAAAAAGGATTCAGGTGACACAGAAAGCGACCGGCACACAATAGGCTTACTGCCTGAGAACGACGTTTTGGCAAATAATGGTTGTCGCCTAGGAGGGAAAAACGCTGAATCTAATGATTGCCTCGCTCCACAAACAAAACGAGCTAGTCGCATGTCTACGAAAGAACGGTCTCTTGTTCCCGGCGAAAACGGAAATACTGGGAGAAACCGCCCTCTAGCAGAGGGGGGTGGAAATAAAAGCGATTGTGGTTTGGCGAAAAGTTCGAATGAGGTAGTAAAAAAATGTTCCCGTTTGTTACCTCACACGATGACGAGAGGAGACACGGATGACTTTGCGTTGACTGGTGACAATTTGGCGGATAAGCATTCTGGGCTGTCCTATACTAGCGTTGTCCAGGATATGATGACTGGGGATACGAAAGCAAACAAGAGATACGCACGTAGACACAGACTGGACCTTGTAGCCTTGGATCTTCTCCCAGAAAGTGCCGTAGACGAAGACCTGAAAACGGCAAATAGCACTCACCACACACGTGTTCAACCAAAGCGATCAAAAGTCATTGAAAAAATGGCGAAGATTTTTGAAATCAGCACTTGTGCAGATAACCAGACTTCAGACAAACACAATCAAGCCATTATGAAAAATGTGACAGCAGGGAAACAAAGTACTGTAAGGGATGAGGTAGAAAAGAAAGACAATGTAATGCACAGTTCAAAACACATTCCACACACATTCATCCATGATCAATTATTTTCCGATAATGGAGAGACTGACACAAACAAGTTCGCCCATGTTCGTCATTCTAAAAGACGTGTACCTGATCCAGATCTGTACAGTTTAGAAAAGCAAGATAATTTATACGCCAGGTCTCACAGTTCTCATTTGAATTTCAATGAAAGCCCTCCAGTTGGTGACATCAAAGACAGGCGCGCATTGAAAACGCGCAGGTCTAGTTCGGAGTCAAGGCGTGATGGAGACAACGAAATCAAACCAACATGCCATCGGTCTGACAACGAAAGTGGCCCATTAAAAACTAACGAACTTAAAGCGGGCCGAATTAGGGCAGCGAAAGGAAGGCTGTCATTTGCATATTTAACAGAATCAAGACAGGCCACACAAAAATCACCCACGCCTTCTACATCGTCTGCGTCCTCATCTTCATCTGGGAAAAAGAGAAATGGCCATGCTAAACATAAAGTGTCCAAAAAATCGTACAGTAGAAAACGAAGTAAACACCGCCCTGAGCGAGCTAAAAATGGCCATGGAAAAGAGGAACGTACTTATTATTATTTCAGTTCCGATTTTTCGGATATTGATGTTGCTGAAGTGAACAACGAGTCTGGGAATATATATAGTGCCACACACAATAAAGCTTTAGCTAGTTGCGGCAGAAAACAAAGTACGAGCCACAAAAACCCAGCAAACACACCGGAAAACGCTGCCGCCACAGCTTCCCCCTCTGCACAGAACAAAAACATGGAAGATGGAAGGTGCGAACAAGAAGTCTACGCTTTGCCAAATGATTCTGTGGATTTGAGAGGCAGAAAGGGCTGCGTAGAGAAAAGTCCAGAAATAAGACACACGAAAAGAACGGATGTGTACAAATCGAGAAAAAGTAATAACAAACTGTTGTCTGACTTGATCATTAGAAATTATGATATGCAACTCTATGATAATGTCTAATTGGGGCGAGAACGAGTTTTTTCCCCCCCAACTCAGTTGATGTCTGATTTCATCTTCATGATTCACCGGAGCAGAAACTTTCTTCTTCACAGTTCACATGCAGTTTTTTTTTGCATGTTGATGACTAATAAAAACAAAAAACTATAGTTAGTTTCCTATTTTTGATATTCGGGTACAGTTTTTGATGGAATGAAGTTGATTCGCTGACAAGTGTAGTATTTACAATCAAGTCTAGATGGTGCTGGATTTTGTTAAAAAATAAAATTCCATTGGCTCCCAGTTCGACCCAGCCTTAAATGGGTACTAGGTACAAGTCCTGGGAAGTAAATGCAACCGGCGTATTGCTGACCACGTCACCCGTCAAGCGCTGATTGGTCTATAAAATATAAATCTAGCCCTATATGCCCAATACGCACAATTGGGGGAGTGGGGCGGGATAGGGTCCTTTACTTCACCTATGTTTACATTATTTTTTTTAATGCTAAGTGAGAACCCGAGTTGTTGATAAACAGCAAGGAATTCACTCATAGTGGTCTACAGGTTAGGGCGTAAGATCGTTGATCGATGTCTTCCCCACATCAGTGGTTCTCAGCCTTCCCAATGCTATGACCCTTAACACAGTTCCTCATGTTGTTGCGACCCTTTAATACTTTTTCTCATGTTGTGGCCACCCTTTAATACTTTTTCTCATGTTGTGGCGACCCTTTAATACATTCCTTGTGTTGTGGTGACCCTTTAATGCAGTTCCTTGTGTTGTGGCAACCCTTCAATACTTTTTTTCATGTTGTGGCGACCCTTTAATACAGTTCCTCGTGTTGTGGCAACTCTTTATTACTTTTTCTCATGTTGTAGGGACCCTTTAATACTTTTCCTCATGTTGTGGCGACCCTTTAATACAGTTCCTCGTGTTGTGGCAACCCTTTAATACTTTTTCTCATGTTGTGGTGACCCTTTAATACAGTTCCTCGTGTTGTGATTACCCTTTAATACACTTCATGTTGTGGTAACCCCCGACCATAAAGTTTTTTTGTTGTTGCTACTTCATAACTTAGTGAATATATGTTTTATGATGGTCTTAGACGACCTCTGGGAAATGGCCGTTCGACCCCAAAAGGGTCGCGACACACAGGTTGAGAACCACTGTTCTACAGGAATGCTGCCCTTAACACCTTAAGGGTTGTAACGTTAACTTTGTAATGATTGAACTTACTATTTTGTAGAATTGGCCCATAGCAAGCGTGTCATAGGAGGCTACTAAATAGGGGAGTTTTCTACAAAAGTCGGAATGCATCTGCCTGTGATTCAAGGAACAGACAGTCCTGCATACAAATAAACCAAACCTGTAAAACGGATGCGCACGCGAATTTCAAGTTCTGGAATTAGACTAAAGTGCAGGGGGAACGAACAGCCAGAACTTTTCTTCGAAGTTTACAGCCGGTGAACACCAAGGAGAAGAAGAAGAAGAGGAGCGGCTTCTTGGCTTTGCTACTGTTGAATTCCCGCCCAATCAGTACTCCGGAGTCACTGGGTGTTAATTTTGCTAGTATGCAACCATGGAGAGACGGCTAAATAGCTTTCACATGCGATGCCTAAGAAGAATACTAGCCATTAGGTGGCAGGAGAAAATCACAAACACTGAGGTACTGGAAAGAGCAGGTACTACTACAACAGTCTTTTCCAAGCTCAGTCTACAAAGGCTCAGGTGGCTGGGTCACACCTGGAGAATGGAGGATGGCAGAGTCCCTAAGAACACCCTTTATGTTGAATTTAAGACAGGTAGAAGATGTCGAGGCCGACCTCTACTACGGTATAAAGATGTGTGCAAGCGGGGCATGGATGATACAGGTTTTGAGGTGGACTCATGGGAACAAAATGCCATGGACCGTGTAGTGTGGAAAAGGCATGTCAGGAAGGGAATGGGAGTGAGGGAATAAATTATTGCAGAAAAGATAAGAGCTGAGCGTCTGAAAAGAAACAGATTAAACACAAATGTTGACATCAATGGTCCTGTAATCCTACGCTATCATTGTGGAAGACTTTTCTTGACACGGGCGGGACTTGCTAGTCACACTCGCCATCGCCATGGTCTGTGAGCCCCATACCTCCTCGTAGCGCAGTATAACACTATCATCTGGAAAGACGGAAAGGTGCCAATCAATCAATCATGCAACCATGGAGGTGATTTTGTTAATAATGATGATGAGTTGCTTTACCAGGGGGGGGGGGGGGGTCGTCCTGTTCAGCCAGCATCCCTGAAGTGGGAGCTTTAGGTTATAACTGTGACTTAGGTTATGTGCGCCATTTAAAATGGCTTAGCATTGCAGGGCACCAAGAGTCTTGAAAAGGACTCCTGCAGTGTTAATGCAATCAGAGGAGATAGGCCTAAATACTGTCTCGACTGGTGACGAAGTCGTCTATCGGCGAGCAAATGGGCGATTTTGTTGTTTTCTGAGAACTGTATACACCAATCCTGATGTGTAAAGAAAGTTAGTTATGTATTTTTTTTACAGAACGATGCAGAACTAACCCCAGCATTTTATGTCTGTTGTCGTTTTTTTCTAGGTAAATGTTTGTTCACTAGTTTGCCACTGCTTTCTAAACGGATGACTCTAGATACCAAAACCAACACAAGGCGGTCTGCTGCCATATGCCCTGCAGCTGGGATCAAACCCGGCATTACGAAGCGCGTTCGTAAGGCCTGAGCAACATTCGCCAATCCGGGTGTTCGGAAATGAATTCTGGGCTGTCCGCCGATTAGTTGGGGGCTGCGTGGTCTTGAGGCATGGTGTCCGCCTCGAGTGTTTTAGGTTGCGGGTTCAATCCCCGGTGAGGGCTGGAATTTATTTCACGTGGACTTGGACTTATAGTAATTCCCCCTGGTCTCTGGGTAATGAGATCGGACGCCCGTGTGCATTGATGCGCACGTAAACAATCTTTTGGCAATAGGAAATCGAAAAAAGTAGCCTAACGGTGCTGCCCGGGCAACATCTGGAGTTAAAAATCTACCGAAATGATTTCAGGATCCTCGCCGGTGCTACAGAGCCTGTGCACTGTGTTGAGATTCTTCTGACTTGAGTTAGAAGAAGAACGGAGCACTTATTTGTTACTACCCGTGTGCCTTGAAGTTGGTCCGTTGTTCATACCTCAGCCGATTAGTTGAAACTGCAGGAATGGGGTTTTATAAAGGAAGGATGAGAAAGGAGTAAAATATGTGGTGAAGATGTTTTTGAGCTAACACAACGAATTTTTGTATTGTTGTTGCGTTTACCGGCTGTAAGCTCTGGCGGAAAGTTCTAGTTGTTTTCCCGCTTCTGGACACGAACTTATATTTTGCGTGCATGTCCGTTTTATTTATATATATATATGCAGACTGTTGGTTCCTGGTCTCTTGGGCAGATGCACTCCGACTGTGATGGAAATATTCTTAATTAGAACGCTTTTACCACATGCTTGTTGTTGGGGGGTGAGGAGGGGGATGCTCTCCAGTGGACAGCAGATGAGAAAAAGGAGACGTGGACGACCTAAGGAAACCTGGAGAAGGACAATAGAACAGGAAATGAAGGAATGTAAACTGACATGGGATACCATAGGCAGAAAAGCAGCAGACCGGCAGCAATGGAGATCACTTGTGAATTCCTTATGTGCCAACAGCGACATGAGGAGGATATAGATAGGTAATTAGGAAGGTTGAAAGCCACTGATTTAGGCTATATGACAGAGACTGCCGTTCCGGCATTGAACCTTACAGCAATTGCAGCTGCTCCCAAAACCAGCCGCTCAAATCCATAGTCCCTGGGGACCGACGATGAATACCCATATTAAGAACCACTGATCTGTAACTTAGTCTGGTTCTCCAACGTCCTATAAAGGATACTCAACTAGCTCTTTCAGTACCAAAAAAACGCACTGTTCGTTCCTTGCCATACCACAGAAATATGAACTCTTTACTACTAAACCATTGCGTCTGAATTGATAATTTAACTACGTGTACCCTCTAGTTCTGCATCACTTGGTGGTGAACTGATGATGTATGACAAGTTGGATGTTGTGAAGGTCTCTTGGTTGTGAACTGATGTATGACAAGTTGGATGTTGTGAAGGTCACTTGGTGGTGAACGATGTATGACAAGTTGGATGTTGTGAAGGTCACTTGGTGGTGAACGATGTATGACAAATTGGATGTTGTGAAGGTCACTTGGTGGTGAACTGATGTATGACAAATTGGATGTTGTGAAGGTCACTTGGTGGTGAACGATGTATGACAAGTTGGACGTTGTGAAGGTCACTTAGGAGCGAGTGGACAGTGCCAAGAAACAGACAGATCATTATGGTCTGAGGAGAATGGCGCTGCGAGGAGTTACAAGGGGAACTGGCCGACGCTCAACACTCAAGGGGAAGGGGAATTACTGGGACCACCGGAATTGGAACTCTTCGCTTGCTGTTGAAAAGGGAAACGGAGCGCTTATGGGAGTGTCCTGAGTGCTATGATGTTGATTCTTAATTCAAAATTCAGTAGAGTAACTTAGTCGCTTAGTGCAACAAAGCCTGACATATGATATCACGACGTCTAATTTGAGAAGGCAGGTGGAGGCAGTCACTGCTGCCTGCGACTGGCTTGAGAATCAGCTGTACAGACATGTTATATTTGTAACTGACTCGCATAGCATGTTGAGAAAGGCGGAGACAGGCATGCCCTGTGCACAGTGGCAGGCACCGCTTCAGAGGTCCCTGGCACTTAGCGTCCTTTGGATTTTTTTTTCTTTAGGCGATGCATGTGTGCTGGAAAACGAACAGGCAGATAGGCTGGCCGATTTTTCGCTGTTTGGTGGTGAAATGACGTATTACAAGCTAGATTTGTGAAGGCCCTTTGAGGACGAATGAACAGTGCGGAGGCACAAACAAATCACTACGCATTGTTGCGCACTTAAAAATCCTTTGGCAGTTGGAAATCGAAAAGAGTAGCCTAACGGCACTGCCCGGGAAAAATCTGGAGTTGAAAAT